TTTCATTTTCAGTGATCTATCATTCAACTGAGATACATTTTATTAATTTTTCCATATTACTGTGAAGTATGAGTTTTTCAAGATGAGTCTTTCTTGAATATTCTTGCTTTCACTTGAATTAAATCTAAATGCAACTTGAATCCTGTATTAGATTCAACAATCGCTGTACCAGTATTTTCAACTTCTCTGCAGCTATATTAAAAAACACAGTTTTTGCCAAGTAATTGTTATTCTATTCAGAGTTCCTGAGCATCTCATTGTTATGAAATCTGCTTCTCAATTATAAAACTAGTCACAGTATTTCATTTGTGCATCCAGAAATACCCTTGTCCACAGGGAAATCAAAGGGTCATATTAATTATAGTTCTTAAGTTGAAACATTGATACAATTAACTTACAGCATCCATAAAACATTGTAGTCTAATAAAGAACAATTGATGCAGTGAGTATAAATCAAGGTTTCATAGCAAAAACACAACAGAGATGAAAAATCTAAGATCTCTTAATGGAAGAACTCCATTGTCTTTGTAAATTAAAGATAACAAATTTGTAACGTTGTTTTTCTCTTTTCACAGAAACAATTCCACAGATAAATTATCCAAAAATGCAATATCCTTCTTCCTAAACGAATAGCCTATTTTATCTCAAGATTTTAAGGGATGTTGAGGAAAATTAATATCCATTCAAAGAGAGAAATCATTGTACAAGATCTTCTCACTATAGTTTTTTTTTTTTTTTTTCACATTTCCTCGTGGACTGGCAGAAGCTGTCAGTGACTTTGATGCACTTTGATATGCATTTTTGCCCTCATTTGCCAAAACTAAATAAAAATATGGTTGTAACCAAGGAAGAAAAATGCTTTGTACATTTGTAAATATTGTTTGCGTATGTGTGATAAAATGCAACTCGTTAATTTAATTTATTTCAATTTTCCTGAATGTTTTCTGGAAGAGTATATATTTACTAGTATAATAAGCTACTGCTAAAAAGAATGTTTGAGCAGAACAATGCTCTAAAAAAAGTGTTTTGTTTTAATTTAGTTTTGGCACCTAAAAATATGAGGCTTATACCAATTGGGCATATGCTCGGTGACATATTAGTATATGGTGACATAATATAATTCAAAGAATTATAGATCTATAACTCTGTATCCCCTGCTCAAATCCTGGTTTTCTCATACAATCAAGAATTTTTTGCGTCATTGTCATGTAACATTTAACTCATTCAGGTTTAAAGAAAATGTTTAGAAGTCCCATTTAGCAAAGACTGATGAGACTTTTTTTTATACACTAGGCCCTGGGCTAAGCATTTTAAGGGTAGAAAAAATATTTAAAGTGATATATTCATTAATATCTAGCCAAAAAATGTCAGAAGAACAATAGAGCTTGTACACATTATAGCAACAGCCACAAATATACTAAAGCCTTTCTTTGAATGTTGTATGTTTTCCTGTGATTTAATTTTCCCAGTTGCAAAAATATTATGAAAATTTTTCATGTTTAACTGTTAGAGATCATCAAATTCATTCTTTTAGTCATTGCAAAATATTCCACATTTAAACCAGTTGACACAAATTCACTTTGTTTCATCACATCACTGCAGGTATGACTACAATAAACACCCATGTCCATGTCTGTGTTGTTCGTAGATTGCAGCAGTGTGGAGGAGTAGAGAATGTCTACCTCTAATTGTCATAACTATTGCCCTTTCTCAAAGGCTATAAAAGTGTGTCCCCGGAGCCTCCCCTGGTGGTGCAGCAGTTGAGCGCTGGGCTGCAACGCTGCCTGCAGCCTCTGCAGGGCCGGTTCGATCCCCGGCTGCCGGCGAGGGTCCCACATGGTGCGCAGACCTCCCCTGCCGCCTGCTGCTCCCCTCAGCAGTGTGCTTCGTCAGTCTGCCTGTTCTGCTCCCCGCTCTGGCTCTGGTGAATTCTCTCACCCTCCCGCGCTTCTGACTGTATCCAGTGCTTGCATACATACATACATACATACATAAATAAATCTAAAAAAAAAGTGTGTCCCCATTTGAGCTGTAGTTTAAATGAGAAGTTACCTGCTTTGACCACACACCCCTAAAATCTCAGCACAAAGACTTTTGTTTGATTATTTGCTTGTTTCTCACTCAGGTAATTCAGATGGAGGCCATGCTCTCCAGGATTGCTCTCTGGGTTTCTTCCTTTGTGTGATTCTGCAATTGCAAGAGAACTTTCCTTCCAGTGAAGTATCTGGAAGTGATATGTGGTAGTCCAGCTAATTAAATTGGCAAGACCAAATCCATGATCATCCTAACTGCAAGGGAGTTTGGGAACAATGGAAAAACATGGGGTATTGAGGATTGCTTCCTCTGTAAATTCAAACTTAAATATGCTTTAAACTTAAATACGCTCATATTTTTGTGTTAAAAACACAAAGATGAGAAAGGAAGCAACACAATATATTTAAAAAAATCTGCCATTGGATGTAGATAATGAAAGACTACCACTGAAGTCAGTTTTATAATAACTAAAGTGTCTTTTTTATATATAGACTTCTTTTTTTGTGCTTTTTTCTTTTCATAGAAGAACTGTAATGTAGGCCAGAGGTGTCGGGGGGAGGGCTGTTAAAGGATTCACCAGAGACAGAGTGGGGAGTAGAACAGGCAGACTGACTGAAATACGCTGTTGAGGGGAGCAGCGAGGAGATAGGCGAGGTCTGCTGCACCATATATGCATCAGCAACCTGGCTGGGGATAGAACTCAGGCCACAGTGGTGATAGCTTTAATAATGAAAAGGTAAATGAATTAACAGTCACCATTACTGATGACAATTACTTACAATCACCTACTATTAACTACCAAATTATTACCAACTACTTGTGAATCAATTCTAAAATAGGAGCAATCCTTATAGAAAGAAACAAATAATAGATACTGGATAAAGAAAGAAGGAGAAAGGACAAGGTGAAGAAAGATCATTTAATCTGAGGGCAGGAAGAGAGAAAGAGGAGAATTTGAAAGACTGAGTATGGAGTAGTTTGAGTGAGAAACTTTACAGTGGCTCCAGGATGCATTTCCACCCGGCCGTCTCCAGAAATGTGGCTCTCAACCTCCTACCTCTTACGTTCTACAATCTCAAGGTCAGTTCCATAGAGCAGGGCAGAGTTGGAGGCACAGTCAGTTCGCCCTGTGCACCTGACATAGGCAAGCACAGGTCCAATAGCCGGTCACTTTTAAGCTATCATAAAGTATGACTGTGATGAGCAGACACCCACAAATCAAAGACCTTCCCCAATAACGCATCTTACAAACAATTCTGGGATACAAACAAACAAGAAGCTCAGGAGAAATCCAGAGAAATCCAGGAGCATCTACACAGCTCCCAGATATTTTCTGCATCCAACAAACATGTTTGATTTCTGATAATGAAAGATGAGGTCTCTGAGGGAAGTTAGCAAGCATCTAATAAAAGGAAGTACTTTGAGTTATGAAAATAGTTTTATTTTATATCCAGATCATTATACAGTTAGTGTAAAATTTTCCCAGGAACCATGCCTTATAAATCTACAGATTCTCTAAGCGTTTACGCTAAGCAATTCTAAATGGGAGAATTTGGCCAAAAGCTTTTCCTGCATTAGGAATCATCTCTGAGCATAATCATTAGTTTGTGTTTTAGAAATTCTATTATCAACATGTTTACATCAAGACTGCAATTTTTTTCTCCTATGGCTTTCAATATAACCTTATTAGATTAGACAAGGTTATATCTAAAAAGGAATATACTATATGCCTAATATAACACATTGATAATCCACATACGATAAAACATCTAGAACTATTGAAAGATACAGTTTTGATTTCTAGATAATATTTCTTCACAATATTTTAGAATGTGAGTTTGAAATACAGGGAGCCTAGTCTATTATATAATTCTAAATTTAATTCATTCATTCTCTCCTTTCTATGCAGTTTCTCTAAAGCATAGATAATGCTTCTTAAAGCAATTCAGACAAAGACTAAATTGGAATTCTTGCCAGCATAAGCACTGTGCACACATTTTTAACGACATTCTCCTTTCAACATTGACTTAATATATTTTAGCTGCCTTATAAATCACTTTCAGAAATTTATGTCAAGTATAAATAACTCTACTTCCCACATAAGGATTCCTGTGTTTAAACAAGTGTACTTTATCCATATAGCAAGGTTGAAAACAAATATGGAAAACAATCCATCAAAGTTATAATCAAAGTTTCAGGCTACCAAATGTGGAAATTCTATGAAAAATATGTTATTGCACATTTGCTGGGGGCCTGGGATTAAAGAACTCTTCCATTTTAGGTCCACATCTTATTAAATAAGTATACTTTAGACCATTTAACAATAAAATTTGTGACCTCCTTTGCAATAGGTAAAATCCAATTTCCTTTTCAGTCAACGAAGTATTATACAAAATGTCTTTCTTCCCACTCTGCTGCTCTCCTTTATGACTTGGAGTTCATAAAGCAATTCCCTAGCCTGAGAAGCAAATAAACAAGCAAATGGCAGCATTTAAGGAGCCCTAGGCATAGCACCTAGAATAATCTGCAATATAACATTTATCAAGCAATAGTAAGTTAGAAAACATTTGAGAAATTTGTTTCTGGAGGGAGCTGAGAGAGCTCATTTGAATCCACTTTGTCTCATAAAGGAGACATTGTGTTCATAAAACCACAGGAACATTAGGGAAACAGCTGTTTCCTTTCAAAATAGAGCAGCCACATAAGGTGTAAATTTCAACAAGGGTATATAGCTTAATCAAGTACCCCATGTTATGCAAAATGCAATCCAGTCTGTAATTTCCAAATGGAAAGAAAATCATGACTTCATATTTTCTTATCACAATAAAACCTATCACATGTTTACAAAGAAGTATTTGCCATTTCTAAACTACTGACTTTGAAAGTGAAGCCTCTCTTGATCTATTTTTAAATGTCTATAACAAAATATTTTTAATGAAAGTTACTTTTATAAACTCTTACCAAAATCCTTCTGTTGTTGTTTCTGAGAACTGTCAGAAAATGACAAGATAAGAATAAAAGTGGCTGACCATAAGTATACCTTCTAGAACTACTATCTCAGAAATTTTAGGTAGATATGTTATCAATTAATAAAAAGTTTAGATCAATACACAAGAAAAGTTGCTTATTTTGCTATTTATGTTCAACATAAAATATCAAAACCATAAATCAAAGTATATATTTTTAATTAGAAGCTCAAGAAAATGTAGCATTAAATATTAAAATTAATTTAATATTAATTTTACCAATTGTTATCACTTAGCAAATTGTTATCAATTGTTATCACTTAGCAAATAAATAAGACATTGATGATTTGGAAATAATTATGTTAATAAATAATTCAGTTGTGGACTAGGTTGCCATTGGAAAATCTACAGTACATTAATAATGATTCAATTGTCAATGATTGAAAAGTCAGGTAAGCTTGGTGACATGAGTTATCCGGACCTGATTTTGATACAACAATAAATGTACATAAATTAGAAAATAATTGTTTCTAGTAAAAGAAACTTCAACTAGGAACGACATTGTTACTAGATAATAATTGTTCTTGAGTATTGTAGCAAAATATACTATGTACAATATAAAAAAAATCATTTAAAACCTTTTTTATTTAAATGACTCAAAATTTCCTATGCTTACTTCAAAATCACATTCTAAATGAGAAAAGGTTATATCAATCTACATTTGTAACAGATTTGTTATTTACCATATTAAAATATTCACTTGAAAATTATATATTATTTCATTTAATATTAACCAGATAATTAAATGGAAAGCTAATTTCACTCTAATTCATTTTTATTTTATGTTGTACAAATTATATTATTACATTATTTGTGAAACACACTATGAAGATGCTCATTAAAGTTGCCCATAAATAATGTTTCTCCTTGTTCTTTATATCAATAATTGTATAATCTTGATCTTACCCCAAGTTTTCAGAAGAAAATTCTTGCTTTCATCCTGCCTTGATGTGCTGAGTCCTAGTGGGAAAAATAAATGATAATTGACTTCCATTTGCTTACTAACCTACTAGGTAATAAATGTAGCATTTAGAAATATTAGTTCATGGGCCTCCCTGGTGGCACAAGGGGCTAAATACAGCACTATGAAGCTATCTGCAGCCTCTGCAGCACGAGTTCGATCCCAGCCTGGTCAGGGAGCTACACACATGGCGCAGCGGAGCTCTCCTGTCTGCCCACTGCTCCCCTCAGCAGTGTACTTCAGTAGATCCACCTGTTCTGCTCCCATCTCTGTCTATGGTGAATCCTCTCACCCCCCACATCTCTGACCTGCACCCCAGCTCTTGTATGCATAAATAAATCTTTTTTTTTAAAGAAATATTAGTTCACACTATATGCTGGACATTATATTAGGGCTTGCTGCATATGAAGAATTTTTCCAAATCAGGAGTTCATAATGCAGAACTTTAAGACTTTTTATGTCACTACATCATAAATCCTTCCAGCTTGGAAAAGCAATCCAGTACTCTTCAAGTACATTTTGAAGTGGAATGTATGCTCTGCATCAGCCCATATATCATGCAATAGAAAAAGGGAGAGAAGGGATAACAAAAGCAGGCACCTGAGTTATCGACTTGAAACAGTTCACCAGAGAAACAGAACCAGTTAAGCCTCTTTATTAGCAGACTTACTTATTTTAAGGAACACAATTCTGGGGGTAGCAAGTTCAAAATCAGGAGGTAGATCTCTCAGGCTGGAATCCCAGGCAGGAATTGCTATGCCCTAGAGTCAGAAATGGAGCAGGTGGGAACTCAAGCAGAATTCCTGTTCTGCAGTGTAGAGACAGAATTTCTTTTGGGGGCCTCCCTGGTGGCATAAGGGGTTAAGGTGCAACACTATGACGCTATCTGCAGCCACTGCAGGTCTGAGATCAATCCCAGGCCAGGGAGCTGACCCACGTGGTGCAGCAGACCTCTCTTGTCTCTCCTGCTGTCCCCTCAGCAGAATATTTCAGTACATCAGCCTGTTCTGTTCCCTATTTGGTCTCTGGTGAACCCTCTCACTCCCTGCATTTCTGGCCTGCACTCCAGCTCTTGTATGCATAAATAAATAAATCTTAAAAAAAAAAAAGAATTTCTTTTGGCCTATCAAGCCTCAGTGTTTATTCTTAAGAGCATTTAGTTCAACTGAAGACTTCTGAAAATTGATATTTTGAATTTTCACAAGGCTGCGGGCTGAGCAGACTGGATCACTACCTGGGGCGCTCACGGTGAATGCGATTGAGACCACCTTCAGATGAAGCTCTTGCTTCCATTTGCAGAACTTGCTCCCTGAACCCATCTGCCTCCAGGACTTGACCACAGTCGCCCTCACCAACTGGGCACAAAGAGAATGATTTTGTTTTCCTGATGCAAGATCACCAGTAGATGGCAACCTTAGGACTGCCACAAAAAGCCGGCCAGTTTTTCTTGTGGGAGGAGAGACCCCATGGTTGGGGCCAAGGTCTCTCACTACCTGTCAAATTGACGACGTCAGATCATAGCAAGTTTAACAAGATTCCATCTTGGAATGATGCAGGCCCTATGGGGTGGATGTCTATGCCTAGTGCGCATGGGCCAAGGACTGCGTCCACTGGGGATGAGTTGCTCTATTGGACCATGTTTTTTCCCCTGTAATCAAAATCATTGGCAAGGACACCAAAGGTCAATAGGTCACTCCTTCCTCAGTTTCTACAAGTACAGAGTGGCCTCAAATTATGACCTGTGGGTGCCCCTAGAACTTATTGAAGTGTGTGAGACCCTGACAGCCCAGAGACCAGTGTCAGAGACCAGTGTTTGAGACCATTGCTGCTGCATACAGTCCTGTGACCTCAGCCTTAATTAACTTTGGAATGAGGTGAATTGGCCCCAGTTTCCTTGCGCCACTTGTCACTGAGAGGCTGAGCCACCATAACTGTACTTCCACATTGCACCTAAGCTGGGCCACCGCCTGTGTGTGCTGTTTCTACTTAGATGCTCGCAGCGTTCCTTCTTTAATCCTGCATTTCAGAATTCACGGGATATTTAGGATATTACTCTGATATCAAATCCTTTCCTCTCTAAATTCAGGTGTTTGTTCTATGAAATGGTGTCCATATAAATTTGAAATATGTCTTCTAAGAACCTTGACATCATGATTTAATTTTTAATTTTTATTGAGGAAATATTAGTTTACAGCACTATATGCGGTTCCTTGGTATTGGATCTACCTCTTCAGCTGTGAGTTACTGTAACACCCACCACCAAGACAACATAGCTCTCCCCTGTAGTCCACTGGGCCCCTCCACACTGTGCTCTCTCCACCTTTCTCCTCCTCTCTGGTAGCCTCAATTTTATTTTATTTTATTTTTTTTAAAGATTAATTTACACACACACACACACACACAAGCACTGGGTACAGTCAGAAGCATGGGAGGGTGAGAGAATTCACCAGAGCCAGAGCGGGGAGCAGAGCAGGCAGAAGGACCGAAGTACACTGCTGAGGGGAGCAGCGGGCGGCAGGAGAGGTCTGCGCGCCATGTGGGACCCTCCTCCCGAGGCCGGGGAGCAGCCGGGGATCGAACTGGCGCTGCAGAGGCTGCGGGCAGCTTTGCAACCCAGCATTCAACCGCTGCGCCACCTGGGAAGCCCAGGTAGTCTCAATTTTATAGTCAGATTTCTAAAGCTTGTTATTGGTTTGTTTTCTTCTGACCCTGTTTTATTTCTCCACATTTAAAAATCTCAGGGCTAAGTAGAATACATCAAATAAATTTAGTATTACTAATTTTATACAGAGATATTTTACATTTATTCAATCTTCCCCTCTAAACAACCCGATTGGTTTTTACTTGTTCAGACATTTTTTGTAAGATTCTCAACAAGATTCACTACTTTTGTTATGCAACCTGACAGCATCACTATTACACTTAAACTATTATTTAACTCTAAATAGTTTAAGGATTGTTATTTTGCAGTGGGTGCTTTTTTTTTTAAATTTTTATTAGAATTGATCATTTTCAATACAAAAAATGGTATTAAATACTCTGTATTTAATACTCTACTATCTGTTAATAATTTTTCTGGTAGTTTAGTGTAATTTATCAGAAAATGGATTTCCAAAAAATATTAACTTATCTTATTTTGATGACTTTTCTAAAATGACTGTATACTACTTTTTCTCAGATTGTAATTATTCTGACATCTAATTTACTTGGCAATGCTTTGTTTAAAATTTTGATATATATCTACCAAAATAGCTTGATTTCCATTATTAATGATGTATGGTAAGTTTTGTAGGTAGCTCTTCAAACATTTTATATTATACATAAATTTTAGATCATATTTTTAGAATTTATTTCCAAATTTATTGAATTTATGACAATGGCTGTCACCTTTGAAATATGTACTTAAAAAAAACTTTAAGATTTCCCTTATAGCCAAGTACATAATCAATTTTATAAATGTTTCTCAGATATCAATAAAATAAATATATTCAATATTCCTAGAATGCAATATCAGATATTTATGTCTGAGAACAGTTTTTACAGTATTTAATTCCTGTAGGCTCTCATTTATTTATTTCTTCTAGAGCTTTACAATTCTGAAAAAGACATATTGCATTCCCTGAATATAACTATTTTTATCAAGTTCTCCTTGCATTTCTAATAGACTGGACGTTATTTCTGGAATGCTGAGTGATTTGTTGCTTACAGTTTTATGAGTAATGTGTCTTTCAAGCAAATTGTCTTTTCTCATTACGCAAGATAATCTTTTACCTTACTTAGGAGCTTTTAACCTTAAAAAAATCCATTAGCCCTTGCTCTCACTTGCTTATCAATTTTAGTTTTTCTAAAATGATTTGCAGTTGTTTATTCTTGGTTTATCTTTTCCTATATAAATACTCCATATCAACAAATTTTATTTGACCTCAATAGTACAAAATTCTAAGCACACTGTCATTGCATTAACTGTACATAAGTTATCGTCAGATACTTCCTTTCCTCCTGTCATTTTCTCTCCTCTTAAATTACCTATTTTGAGTCACTTTATTATTCTCTAGAAGATTTTCTGAAATATTTTCTTTAGATTAGGTATGTAAAAGTCAGAGCCCAGCTTTTCTTTCCACTCCACAGGTAAATTATAATTTGTCCTGCCAATAAGGTCCTATGATTCTTTTTACCCAATAATCAACTAATATTTTAAAGCTAGTAATTTTAGTATATATTTTAAAATAAATAAGTTGTTTTAATCTATTTGAAAGCTTCAAATTTTTAAAAAGTACTTGCAAAAAAATCATGGGAGATTTTCAGTCTATTCCCTCCCACCCACAAAACACACATACACACACACACACACATTCTCTCACACACTATGCATCCTTTCTTTCTTTCCTGCTTAGTTGTGTGCAGCCTTCATTGTACATGTTTAGCAAGAAAAAGAGTTGCTTTGGATTCTTTCTTCCCTTCCCCAAGCTGGAACATGGATAGAGAAGCAGCCAGGCTCATGAGGACAATACACTTGAAGATAAGTCCCTCAATACATGAACTTCTCTATGCTATTTCCTACCTGCTTACAAATGAGTTGGAATCACCTTTCCCTCACACTCTGCTAACACTGCTCTTAACCACTTTCCATCCAATCTCTAGTCATGTTCCTGGTTTTATTCATGGTGGCCCCCTTTATTCTGCACCAGTTCTTGCTATTGTATGAAGAAGCTTGCCTATTTCTCATTCACACAATGTCTCCACTACAGGTGGAGGGGGCTTTGTTGATTGTTGTTAATCACTCATGCTGAAGTAGTAGCCACCATTTTGAAGGTTGTTAGTAGCCGACCAGGACTCAAAGGGGACACTCAAGGGGCTCCCCGCCAGGTTGTGTGATAAATACTATGGTCAGTTTGCAACATATGGTATGGCCTGAATTAGCCACATGTCTTCAACAAAGCCCAAGGGATCAGAAAGATGCATTGTTACATTTGCACAGAAAGAAGACCCCTAGAAATATTAGATGAAAACTGTTAATGAGTACCTCAACGCATAAGCCAAATATGTCTTACGGATTCTCAAAATCAGAAACTTGACAAAGATCGACTTAAATATATTAAACTATCAACATAACTATTTGATTATGTACCACCTGCAATAGATATTGACTAGATAATTATATGTAAAGATAATATAAATATCATCCTAAATTTGAATTATTAGATAAAATTCTTTACTCAACAAAATTTGTTTAAGACCAAGGTGAAAATACTTCTTTAAATCTCCTAATTATCTGCTAAAGATGTGGCAGGATGCTGTTATTTAGAACATCTGTTATTTACGAGTTCCAATTAGGTTATAAACTAGATTATTAAAGAAAATAAGCAATTTTACTGAAGCTAACATTTAATTGGATTATATCATTCATTATCTATATTAAACCTTGAATAATTAGCCTTCTCAAGAAAACTTGCAAATAAGCAAATATTGCATAGGATTGTCTGTTGAATAATTAAACAAAGGAAGCCCTGTGTTTCAGCCTTCAATACATTAAATATATCATGAAGTTTTTTTTTAAGATTTATTTATTTATTTATACAAGCAGTGGGTACAGTCAGAAGCATGGGATGGTGAGAGAATTCACCAGAGCAGGGAGCAGAACAGGCAGAAGGACTGAATTACACTGTTGAGGGGAGCAGCAGGTGGCAGGAGAGGTCTGCGCGCCATGTGGGACCCTTGCTGGGGGCCAGGGATCGAACTGGCGCTGCAGAAGCTGCGGGCAGCTTCGCAACTCAGTGCTCAACCGCTGAGCCAACAGGGGAGGCCCTATCATGAAGTTTTTTTATTGTTCTTATACTGTCAATTTCCCTATAAAAAGGAAATAGAGCTTCTTCATTATTTTCTAAGTAATATCTTCCTTTGGTTCTTAACAATTTTTCCCTTGTTGTCTCTCATAAGTTATTCCTAGCTGTATCCTGAATGGTTTATAAATCATATTATCCACCACTATCGAAACCAGTTTCTAAAATGGCATAATATGAGTACAAATTCTTCCTATAAATCAATAATCTGGTAAAACCATTATTTTTCTTAATTTAAGGATCCATTTAAAAGATACTTTTCTTAGAAATCTGGGAGAAAATGAATACAATCATGTTACAAACATATAATCACATTTCATTATCTCCATTTATATAGCAAGAACATTGCACTGATCACTATGTTTAAAATTGATTGCATAGTAATTTAGAAATCTATTAATAGGCATACCACTTTTCTGTCAATTATTTTCTAAAGATGAAACTGATTTTTTTCCAAAAGTTAACACGTATGCTTTCTAAATATAGTCAGATAATATTAAATATACTAATCAAAATACCCAACCTGTGATGAACACAAATATGAAAATCTTTCAGTTGCTTCCTAAGTCTCCTTCCCATGAGCTACAAATCTTTGCACACTTTTTTCTACTTAATTATCCAGCTTACCCTTTACCTGTTATGTGCTCTCTCTTCATTAATTCTGCTGGCCTTCATTCATTCTTTAATAATTTGCATATTTGCTAGTTTCAAGAACATTAACACATGCTACCTCCTTTCTGTGATCTCCCATGATCCTGTCTAGAAATTTTTTTTAGTAGACAATTTCCTATTTTTGCAATCCACTCCCAGTACTTTGGGTGACTTTATCCCAGAATTCTACCAGGGATCCATGGAGTGCATGTGGGGTGAGTACACCCCACTCCAGGGAGAAGCTTCGTCCCTGAAGTCACTAGTATCCTCTAGTCTCTGCAGTGATTAGCATAGGGATGGACACATGCCCGAGATGGTTCAGTGAGAGTGATTTCTAGAAATTTTATGAGTCCCTAAAACCCTAAACTCTGACAATGACACTCAAGCTGCCAGGGTATTCGTGGGAGCAGAAGGACTGCCTGGGCAGGAAGCCAACATGGAAAAGAGCAGATGGAAAAAAATGGAAATATTCAGACCTAATGGTCTGGTTTGGACCCCAGTTCCACTCAGCTAAACCTTGTGTCATTTTGCTCACACCCTTATTTCTAGTCCCTCGGGCAAATATTAGGCGATAAATATATCTACCACTCAGTAGTGGAATGTAAGATGCCCTTGCTATTTGATAATGAATATCAACATTGTTAAAATGTTGAAATTTGTATTATTGCTTGTACTTTATACTGAAATCCTCCACTCTCTGAATTATTAATGATTAAATATTAATCAACCAATTCATTCATCAACAAAATTTCACTGCTGGACAACTGTGGACTGTGCAATTAACATGTCCTTGTGATATAATGAGGAATCACACTACAACAATTGATTTTTCCTGCAAATGGCTTACAATACAGTTTAAGAAGACAAAGAAGAAAATAATTGGAAATAAGATAGATGTTGTGAAGAAAAAGAGAATGTTATGGAAATAATATTGATCTGGTATGGGGGATGAGAAGTCAAAAGCAGGAAAACCTTTGAAGAAAAAGCATTTAAGCTAAACCCTGAAGATAAAGGGGTTGAGGACAGGCAAGACACTATTTTTCTGAACCTCAACATAAATGCTTTATCAGAATCAACAGGTTGCTTCCCTCAGTACTGGCAATCCCCAAGCCCTGCTTTCTTTGCCTTCACAGCACTTTTCACCACCGGATAAACATGTGTTCATTAGCATATTATCTGATTCTCTCTATATTTTGAACTTGATGAAGGCAAGGACTTTGGCTCAATGTTATATCCCTAATGCCTATTGCACAGGAGGGGTGAGTGATAAAACTGTTGAAGTAATAATCAATCCACATCATTTATCCTGCATATTTTCATATATTCAGCATCCATCAATAAGCCAGTATGGCTCAAGCATATAAATCTGATAAGTAAGGATAGAGCTCAATAAAGAAAAATAAGTTTGGAAAAGTTAATCAATGCCTGGTTGTGTTTAAACTTTATGTTAAACTTTGACTCTATGTTTAAACTCTATGTGGTTGATTATTTCTAGAAAAAGTTTTGGATTAGTGGATATCATAATAAACCTTGAATTTTACCTTGATTGTGCGGATCTTCAGGAAATGAATATTTTTGCATCCTTCACAAAGTGGCAAGTTGGCAAAAATCACACAAGTCTCACCCACCATCACTGGTTCTGCTCCTGGAACAATTGCAAACACATATTAGGCACTGATCAGTGTCTGGGGGAAAATTGAAGAACAAATGGAACAAATTAATTTACTCTTGGTTGTTGTCAGTGTGTCTAAAATTCTCCATTTCTTAGCTTCAATTCATTAAGAATTTATACCCTTTCTGCACTGACTTTCTGACTTCTTGAACTCCTTATAATTAATCAATAAGCAGATTGGGATCTGGAGTTCAAAGATAATAATCTTAAAATGATTTCACCTGTGGCAGTAAACTGACTACAGTAACCTGAAAATGATACAGTAAACTAAAAGAGAGATGAGCTCTAAATAACTTGGAATGATTTTTGAACATATCTAGAAAACATTCTCCTAAAAAGGGACAAGTATTTCTAGCTATATTCAGAAGAAACACTATTTTAGTCAACTTCAAAGCCTGAATGGTAGAGTATGACATCTGTTTTGGGATCTCAGATTAATGCCATATTTACCAGGGATATGTAGAGGCAGGAATGGACACGGAGCAAGATCTCTATGATCCCAGGCAGACCGGGTAAAGGAGAGAGTCCTGGAGACCTCGGTGGGTTTTCAGGCTTTTATTGGGATTTACCGGGTACATGGCAGGCAAGGGTGCTGGGGGGGCTGGGAGGCGGGCAGGCCTCCCAGCCCCCAGCAAGTCTTCACTCTTTCTGGGCTCTCCGGCACTCTCTCGGCTTCTCTTCTCTCGGCTTCTCTGCTTCTGCTGGCGTCCCCGTGACGCCACCCTTAAAAGCCCAGTCTTAGCCCAGGTGAATCCCATCTACAGAAGCCCACACCCTATTCCAGGTGCCCGCCATCAGGCATACATTAAGGACAGCAGGGTTCGGTCATCTATCCTGATGGTGGGAGGGCAGAAAAGCCTGATACTTTTTACCTTACCCTACAGGATAAGAAAACAATAATAGATTTAATTCACATAAAGGGCAAATAAGTATAATGGGCAGTCTTTTTGAGTAACAATATTAACGCTTGGGGAAATTCTAGTCAAAAGCTGTAAGAATCACATGCTAGTCAATAAAACTCTATTGCATGGGTCAAATAAAATGTTCAGCATCTCTAAATATTTTCCCCTGGAGTAGTCATCAAGTCATCTCAAAATGTTAACAGATGATTAAGAACTACCTAAAGTCAGTTAGTTAAATGGCTGACAGGAGTGTAAATTCATATAATGTCAAAGGAATCTCACACACTTAACAAGGATGAAGTAAACAAATTTAACTGTAGAAGCGTTAGACTGTTATCACTTCCATTTTTATGTTAAGAAGCTTTATATATTTTCTGGATTAAGGATGTCAAATTTTAGCAAATAAAAATGCATGCCACTCATATTTGAATTTCAGGCACACAGCATACTTATTATAATTATTTTCCATGCAATATGGAGGAATTCCTTATTTTATCTGGCACATTATTCCTGAGTTCACACACACCACCTATCATATCATCCTCAAACGTTTTTAATTTGAGTCTATGAAAGCTTTTTGCATTATTTTCCTGTCTGAAGGATATTCAGTGAAGAGGATAAACTATTCAATAACAACACAAGTGAGAATATAGGCAAAAACGGTGAGACGGAGCTCTTTTTTTTCTAAAGATTATTTATGCATACAAGTCCTGGGGTACAGGCCAGAAGTGTGGAGGAATGAGAGGATTCACTAGAGACAGAGTAGGGAACAGAACAGGCAGACTGACTGAAATACACTGCTGAGGGAAGCAGTGGGCAAGACCAGTGAGGTCTGCACCGTGTGGGTCAGCTCCCTGGACTGCCAGAGATCCAACTCATGCTGCAGAGGCTGCAATAGCGTCACAGTGCCATGCTTAACCCATTGAGCCACCAGGGAGGCCCCTCCTCTGCTCTTTTAACAATGAAATGTTAAAAGAAATGCTCAATGAAATGTTAAAAGGAATGTGCATGACTGAAAAATAGAAAAGGAGATGAGAAGTTGTACTGAGACATTGTACCTGGCTCGGATATGTCGGGATATTTGACTAAGAATGGCACATTAAGTGAGATGAAAACATTCACAAGGAAAGCAATGTTATTAGTTCATAAAATCAGGTTTCTCCATGATACACACAAAATGATCTAATGTGTTTAAAAAAGGGGGAAACTATATATTTGCACAAAAAACTGGAATGTCTATGCTAAGATGCTAGTGGGAAATTCAGAGTGATGGAAATGTTATGTGATATCCTTCACCTTATTTTCATATTACATAGAATATTTATATTGGTTATTAAATGATAAGTCATTGATTGAAGTATTTACTAAAACTCATGTGTAGAATTCTGATAGTGTGTATGGTTTAGAATTGGACTGTTTGGGAAAGGGTTATGCACTGTAACTTTGGCACTTTCTTCAGAAAATTTCAATGTGATCTTGGGAATCCTGTAGAACAAAGGGCTCTCAAACCCTATTCTAAATATGTCTCCATCCATTGGCCTCCTAGGGTCCACCTGATCTATTCTCTAGTGTAAAACACCGACTTGTAGAGATGATGAAAGCCTAAAATAGTGCTGTCTAAGGTTTGCTTAGCTAATCAACATACTCAGAAGTCCAAGACCTTTACTGTAATGCTCAATGTGTATCTTCAAGAATAACCATTTTCACATATTTTTCTATTTGGAAAAATTACACAAAACCTGTATTTTTATACTTTGCAGTAAAAATAACATGTTCATTTAGAATGAATTAATGTTTTAATAAATTTGCTGCTATATTTGTTTTTTCAAAATTATAGGTCAATGTAATAGCAAATGTTTGCTAAAACTCCTTACCTGCAATAGGCTAGAAATATTGCAAAAGCAAATAAGTTAATAAAATAATAATTTGGCCATTAAAAATAAAAAGAAATAAAGTAACCAGAAATCTAAGGATTTGTAGAGAAGAAAAACTATCCTATACTAATATCCTATAATGACTCTAAGAGCCCAAACAATGAGGGATTAGACTTAAAAAGATTTTGAGAACAAAGATCCAATAAAACATTTTTAAGCAAAAAATATAACTTAGGGTAAATATCAGATTTAGGGTGAAACTTTCTGCCCAATAGTTTCCATTTACCTCAAAGTGTCTTTTATTAAGTAAAAGTATAAAAATAGTGTCTTCTATTAAATTAAAATAAAGAAACCTGAAAGTAAGAAAAATATAAAGTATTATTTGGAGTTTAGAGTTATGACAAGTAAGATATTTTCAGACTGGACACTGTTTGGAACCAAAGATACATGATATGGGCTAAGACTTCAAGGGGGTTATTTATACAAATGCATATTTTTATAGATATCTGTATATCTGAGAATCTCAACATAACCACTAGACTCTGCCTCCCACAAAAAGTCCTTAGATTGCTGACATTTATTAACATTCTTGCTAGCGATGGGATGATGGAATGTGAGAATGAGAAAATGAAGACAAGATCTCTATGTCACAGCAATTTTGAATCTCAGCGAAGTCCTGACAAATGAACAAGGCAACTATATGATGATAGGAGGGGAAAAAAGATAATGTTTATTTTAATGTAACAACTATCTTTACAAATACTGACATGACATGGGCAACAATGTGGGGTGAACGGAAGCCAGTGATGCCACAAATTGTCCTGAGATCCAGAGAATCCAAAAGTCAGTCACAAAAGACAAGGCTTTCTACAGAGTAGGCACTTGGGAAATCAAGGCCTGGAGTTGGAGAGAGTTGGATGGATGGTTTAAGGGGGTGAAGAGAGTCAGGGGGGCTGGTGTGGCCTGTCACCAAGGACACACGAAAGTCAAGAGCCCAAAGTCTGGAGGGGACAGAGGTCAGTGATGAGCAAAAACCATTGAGAGGAAAAATCCGTGGTGAAGGATAGAAAAATCAGGAGTAAAGATATAAGAAGATTCACACACTTGATGAGCAGAAGAGAAGAAAAGAAGACCTCAGAAAGTAGAAAAACACATTTTTCAAACACTTTTTGTTTTAGAAAGCAGTAAACTGGGGTATCTGGAATCATGAAGGTAGAAAATGTATCCTGGCCAGCCACCTACGTAGAAGTCTTGGTGCAAATGTGAGAAAACCGTTGTTTTTAAACCTGAGCTATAATGGTGTAAAGCTCAGCCAAAGACCAAAAAGTCAAAGAGAATGTATGGATGTATCTCCAGACATGGAGACACTAGAAAGGCATACCCGCCAAACATGAAAACCAAAACAATACTTCAGATAAGATCAAGAAAGCAGTGGAAGATGTGAAAGAATAGTATAATCAGAACTAGAGAAATTTAATTATGAAGGATAAGACAAAAATAAAAAGGGCGGGCCTCCCTGGTGGCGCAAGGGGTTAAGCAATGCACTATGAAGTGATCCGCAGCCTCTGCAGCATGAATTCGATCCCCCGCCGGCCAGAGAGAAACCCACATGATGCGGCAGACCTCTCCTGTCTCACCTGCTGCTCACCTCAGCAGTGTACCTTGGTCGATCTGCCTGTTCTGCTCCCCACTCTGTCTCTGGTGGATCCTCTCACCTCCTGCATCTCTGGCCTGTACCCCGGCTCTTGTATGCATAAATAAATCTTTAAAAAAATAAAATAAAAAGTGTACAAAAGGAAAATGACACAAGGAATGACACTCCAGTAGAGAAACAGAGAAGAAGAAAAGTCGTAGAAAAAGAAAACTAAACTGAAAGTAACACAAGAGTAGAGAGAAAGCTGATAAAAGGAAAACACAATGTAGGTGCTAACCACGGAAAATGCGCCCATGGAAACTACACAGGCGACAAGCAATGAGAAATAAATGTTAAAACCTATAGCTGGGGGCCTTGGTGGTGAGTGTGCACCTCGCCCTTCCAGTCATATACATTGTTGCCAGTCAATTGTAAAATTTTTTTAAAAGATCAAAAGAAATGCTTTACAGCCCAAACAGTGGGAAAAATAAACTTTCTGAATTCAAAATATATCTGAACCTGTACATTTATATAAATACTCTTTATTTAGGAAAATCA